GCGTGTTTAAAGACGCGCTGTAAGAAAAGCCAGGCTTAGAGCTGGATGTTGGACTATATTACTCATTAACACAGAGCATCCATCAGTATGAGGACTGGATTTCACTACTGTATTGTTATTACTTTGTTGTTACGAATTACATTGCGTTCAGCAACACTTTTTAATAATATAGTACATTTTAACATTTGATTACTTTGATTAATGCAAGTATTAGTGTTTGATTTGCTTAGCAAACAGTATATTATGCCTTATGTTGAAAATAAGACTAATATGATCAGAATTAATCACGGCTGACTGAACTACTGTCCTTGTGTCTGAATGCAGGGTAAAAAAATTTGTCAGTAACACCACCTTATGACAAGGATCAAAGAACTTAAAAACAATATGATCGCTGGCTTTGATCGGTTGTTTTTGTGCTCTATTGTTGACAAAGACAAAGAGCAGTAGTTTTTATATAGCGCTTATATAGATTCAAGGACTCATTGCACACATTGGAAGGTCATTAGTGTCACCTTGTCGTGCATCCACGTGAGTACAGTCAGAAAAAAAACTCATGAAAAACTCATCTATGAAGTATGAGACACTTGGCTTTACATTAAAGTGGCATTCAGTAGGTGGGGTTCCCTAAGAGTCTCAAGTCTAAGTGTCTCAAGTGTGGGCAAAAATGATCATGGTTCTCAGTAATTTCTATTGTGTGTAACTGTTTCCTCCATTTATCCATTTAGCCAAAAAATTTTGTAAATGTAAGGTGCAGAAAGTACAGATACTTGTCTAAAAATGTAGGGAATAAAAGTAAAAAGTTGTCACAAAAATACATACTCGACTAAAGTACAGATACCTGAAAATTTGACTTACCATCTCGGCTAACTACACATTTAAGATACACTTCACCAAAATAAAACCAGAATATCAAATCTAAATGTAAGCGTTTAATTTGATCTCTATACAGGTCACAGTTTGGAAGCTTGCTTGTTCTGCTATCTTTCTGTAATGGTTAATCCACCAGTATGTACAAGCTCTTTAATTGAAACGATTTTTTATTTTTTCAAATTTTCTGTGTAATAAAGAAACAGAAAAAATAATAGTAGCCCATGCTCAAAGAAATGTGGATATAAACATCTTCAAATTAAAGCTGAATCTCATACCAGCAGTGCACTGGCATGTGACTTAACACAACATAAATGTGCCACTGTGCTAATCCCTCCTGACTGCACTGTGTAAACTGACCATCCTCAGGTCTGCCAGTATTGTAATGCCAGAGACAGATGACATAATACAAAGTGATTGCACATCGGTAAATCCAATTTAGGAACCAGAAACACTCAACCTTAATAACTGGTCAACAAGCAGTGTGTTACCGTCACTTCATGTTTCAGTGCTCAGGGACACTTCCCCTCTGTGTCACAGCATGGCAGCTGTGCACATTCAGTATTCCTCTCAATGAACTTTAACTCGTCTGACGCATTTATGTATGTGTGAGTGTCATGTGCCTATACTTAGCAATAAAACCAAGTTGCTCTTGTAGTTCGTCCTTACATTTACATGCTATGCTTTTATGCGATCTCACATGGAAGTAGGAGTTTTAAATGAAAAGTAAAACGCATCCTTGGTGTTAAAACCACTAGAGAAGAAGGCCGAACCCCCGACATTTGCAGCTGGGTATGTAATTGTTGACTGAAATCAGAGCCTACTCATATACTGCTCATTATATTTAAACCTCTGGTAAATCAGCCAGCAGTAATAGGAAGTAATCTCCAGTTTAGGATCAGCGGGCGAGCTTGGTTATGATCACCATTTAGGAAGTTCCTGCTGGGTGGGAGGGCCTAGTCAGGTAAGCTGCCATGGTGTTAAGAGAGTGCACACACAAGAAGAATTGTTTGCTCTTCCCTTCAGCTGTTGAGAGCCACACAAGCCTGAAGGAAGAGGGAAGAGTTTCACTGGGAGCAACATGAATTCTCAGGATGAACTTTCTCATGAGTGGGCGGACAGCCTCGACAAGGCCAGGGTCAATGATTGCACCCCAACGGGGAAAGAAAGAAACAGCTTGCGAGAATACGCGCACTGCCTGCCTCTGGGAGATGGTGATGACACCTTGGAGCCATCAGCCATCGACACCGCGCGGCTCTTTCCGCTCATGGAGACCAGGCTGTACAAACGGCGGTGGGTGATGCTCTTCATCTTCAGCGCCTACTCCATGAGCAACGCCTTCATGTGGCTGCAGTACGGCATCATCAGCAACATCTTCATGCGCTTCTACAGCATCGGCACCCTGGCCATTGACTGGCTCTCCATGATCTACTTTCTCACCTACATCCCTCTCATCCTACCCGTCATGTGGCTCCTCGACAATCGAGGAATCAGAGATGTTGTGGTGGTGGGGTCCGCCTACAACTGCATCGGGGCCTGGATCAAGACGGGTTCGGCGGACCCCAGCATGTTTGCTTTGACCTTCTTTGGACAGTTCGTGTGCTCGGTGGCCACGGTTTATATCCTGGGCATCCCTTCCAGACTTGCATCTCTGTGGTTCGGGCAGCAGGAAGTGTCCACCGCCTGTTCCATTGGGGTTCTGGGAAACCAGGTGTGTCTTTGTTTACCTGCTGGGTTAAAAAAAAAAAGTATGGTGTTATTCACTTTTCTTCTTTAAAGTGGGCGAGAGTGAATGAGAGCTCTGTCATCTTTAACTCTTTGTGCAGCATATTAAAAAAATAGCATGTTTCTGTTAGGTCAAGCTATCTTGATTTGTGATTGAGTGTCTCTCCTCCTGTGGATTCTTCTTTCCAACCTTCTTCCAGAGTGGGCAGGTTTAACAAAGCCAGTCACCTTCTTTGCCACTGGTGAAAACTAATGGCTAGTAATCCCTTCAGAGTAAAGGTTCTTAAAGAAACGATGAACCCAGCATGCAGTACATGTTAGCATGCTGGATGCTGAACCATTTTAGTTCTATTAAAGTACTTCACATACCAGGCAAGCAGTATATGGGAAGTAGAAGGGCATGGTTTACATTACACTGAGCATTTTTACTGTTTAAACATTACTTGGATTACCAGTATCAAAATATGAAGTCATAAATTCTTCATTTTTAAATCTGCCGATAGAAACTAGAAGAAAATATATGATAGGGAACCATTGTCTGACAGAGACTTCCAAACTGTGAGGAGGGTAGAGGGAGAGAAGTGAACAGAGTATAGATCTTTCCAGTAAAAACAGGGATACCGGTATTGTCTAAGTGGTCAAAGTGACTTCCTCTGTGTCTGTATGTGTGTTTGGTTTGTTCTTTCTAGCCAGGGGAAAATTGCTGGGGATGGCGGGTGACTTCCACCGCTTGAGCTGCCTGCTTCTGTGCAAGTTTCCTCACCTTGGGTAAATTAACTATACAGTGAGATTGCACTAAGAATGCTGTGTGCATGGCAAGGTAGTCAGGTCTGCTGGGGCGGGTGTGTTTCACTGCTTTTGCTTTCCTTTTAAAAATCCTGAGAACGGCATTAAACTGACAAAATCATCTGAAAATTCCAAAAAAGGTCACGGGAAATGTCAACATGCATCAAATGAAATCTAATTTACCTTAAATTTACCCACGAAACATAGAGAGTGATAGTTTTATGCAATTTTAAGTCATATCTAAAGTAAAGAGAAAATAAACAGAGCAAATGTGGTGTACTTGGCTACATATCAGTGCTTTGTGATCTCTCCACAGTCTCTAACACTTTTCTCATCTTATTGACCGCTCTGAGCACGCTGTGGTGCCCTTTAACCTCCAAAGCTGAACCATGTCCTCTCCCTCCATCATTAGACCAAACACCGGCGCTTGTCATGAATGTTCTTGTTTTGTGCTTTAAACCCGCTCCCTGCCGATGAAGATGAAAAGGACGCGCTGCTGTCGATGTTTACTTGCTCACCATGGCTTAATTGCTTTGGCTGCGGTCCCTAACACTGGATGCTTCCAAGTTTTCAGGCTGAAGTCGTTTTATGTAATACCTTGGACATTTAGAAACAGTTCACATTAGCAAAAAATTAGGTAAGGGTTCCAGAAAAGCCTGTGACGCTTTGAAGATCAAACAGACATCAAACTTCAAGCGAGGTCACTGTAATTTGGAGCCAATGAACAATGAGCCTGTTTTGCATAGTTTTGACGAGGTTATAAAAAGTCTTTAGTTTGGTTCAAATGTGTGACTGTCTGCTGTGAATGTTTTCTAGAGCTTTTTCTAGTACACTGGCAACAAGGTAAACATTATAGCGAAGGTTCTAATCTGTCTGAAGGCTGTAGAAGGCAACAAGTGTAACCGTGGGTGTAACATTCTCGGACGACTGAAGGGATCGTACATATTTCTGTGTTTCCACTCGTCAAACACTTCACAGGTTTGTTCCTCACAATCGGGAATGTGTCGCGTCACCTTTCCTTCTCTCACCTTTCCCCTAGAGTGGAGGGACCACCACCGGTGTCCCTTCTGGAATGTTCTTGTGACAGTAGGAAGCCGAGGATGTTGGCACTGCTGCCGTGGTATTCAAATTTGGAACGTTTACCCCCACTCCCTTCCCATTTACCCAAGATCCACTAGAAGTGTTGCTTTTCACTGAGGTTGGCTGGGGTTTTAAAAGTTAAATTTAGTGACATGTAATCTTCATGTCAGGCAGTTTACAAAAGAATGGTGACTTACGGTGTTACCTGTCTCTGTTAAACAAAAAACTACAGACGGGTTTATTTTGCTACAAATGGCAAATATGCATATATTTTATGTTTTATAATAAGAGGTGTACCATCACTCACACTGATTGCAGCAGTCAGTCAGATGCCAAACAGGCATTGACATTTTCTGCATCAATTACTTGTTTTTGGGGTGTTTCTTGCTTTTTACAGGGCATCATATCAAAGTGCAAACTTTACCCTTCTTTATGTCTTCAGTGACGTGTTTTGCGTTATAGCTTTTTTAAAATTTGGACATATGTGTCTGTGCGCAGGCATCACCTCAGTCCATAGTTAATTATGTGTCTCTCGCTTACAGTTGGGTATTGCCATTGGGTTCCTGGTTCCACCCATCCTCGTGCCTAACGTGGATGACATGGACGAGCTGGCACATCATATCAGTATCATGTTCTACATTAGCGCAGGCATGGCCACCGCCATCTTGGTCCTTGTGGTCATCGGTAAGTGTTTAAAGGGAAGATGAGTGTTTATACATGTCAGTTATGGCTGGAGCCTTTGTAGAACCATTTTGACCATTTCTGTTTGAAACCTAAAATCGTGTTGAAGAACCTGGAGAATTTTCAGGGGAAGGAAATCAGGAAAAGAACAGAAAATCTGTGAGCACAGAATCATCAGTGAATTTTATGCATTGGTCTCCTGTAGACACTGACGCCACTGTTTGCAGCTTCCAGCCAGCATTGATGTGATCTTGTACTGCCCTTTCTGGCCTTGGAGACGCATGGATTCAAGTCTTGATTGAGCCTCACGTTTGTGTAAAAGAGCTAATGGGTTAGAGTCCTTGTCAGAGCTCTTTACTCACTCATGCAGCAATCGCCCACTGCAAGTCACCTTAAGTGTCACGCAGCACCCACAGCTATTGGTGTGAAAATATATGAAGCAAAGCATCATCTTGACAATTTGTAGTTTCCAGTGTTACCTCACCTTGACTCCTTTGTCCACTAGAAGAATTACACTGCTGTTTTAAATGAGAACACAAAAGAGTCTTTGAAATCATCTTTGCTGCAAAGTTCTCGATATGAACATCCAGACTTGTGTATGGCAGAGCTTTACACAGAGATGTCTGCTCCTCAGCCAGCTCCGCTGGGAAACTGAGCCTGCCCGAGGTGTGCTTTCTAGCGAAAAACTCAACATCCCTTCAACTCCACCAGATGAGCAGCTGCGGTAATTGCTGTAATTGTCCACATTTTGATGAGATGAGTTTTGACACGACGTGAAATACAAGCAGGGGCTCAGGGAGTCATAGCAGAGTTTTATAAAATCACCCCCCCACCTCAGCCCCCAGCTCTGTTAAATTCTCTCTTCACCTCCACCAAGGACTAAAAGTCAGAGAAAGTCAGAGAAACAATGGTGGAGAACCAGTCCCTTGATTACTTGGATATGCTGACTAAATAACTCAAAGCAAATCCTTGGGACACAATCACCTGTGACCGTGACCTTTGAGGTCAAAGGTTTGTGATTCCAGCTTTTGCTGATTGTCGTGTCACGTGCAGAGAACATCTGTGTTTCACTTTACATACTGCGCAGATATATCTGCTTGTCCCATCAAGCAGGTTTTACTTATTTAAAATATATATATAATCACATGTGAAGCACACACTGCCAATTCTAACTACACATAATGTATATTTATGCTGTCAGGAACATGCATCATATTTGGTAACTCACTAAACTCAATAGTGAAAGATTAAATGCAATAACAATACAGAAAGTGTTACGGAATCAATAAATAGAAGAAATACTGAAAATGTCAACCTGTTATTCAACAAAACCTGTTAATCTACGACTTATGATAGGAGGAGAAAAGTAATAACAATAGCCACCTATATTTGGTTAAATTTGGTGGCTGACTTGATGTCCAGGGGTCAGGTCAGATGTCACCCGCTGTGTTAGACACTTACCTGCATTTTCTTAGAAAGGCTCAGTCGAGCATCACATGGACCTTGTACTGGAGAGCTGGCAGGTTAAAGATTATTCCAAATTCTCACATGTAACTCTGTTGGACAATGTCTAAAGATGTTCAGGGCTGCTGTACGTGTGTTAAAACCTGCTTCGGAGACTGATATCTTATCTTTATAAGCATGTTTACTCATGTTTGGAGTCCACTTTTGCTCTTACCTCAGCATCACACTAAACTTTGCTCTTTGCCCCAGTCCGGTGTTTTTCCAGTGCTGTCCTACTAAATCTTATATCTTAACCTCCAGAAATGCTGCGTTTGTTTGTGTTGCTTTTCAGTGTTTCAGGAGAAACCTGAGATCCCACCCAGCCAGGCCCAGGCACAGGCCAGGAACATGCAGCCTGATGAGTACTCCTACACAGCCTCCATCTTGAGTCTGCTGCGCAACAAGCCCTTCATGCTCCTGGTGGTCAGCTATGGTGGGTTCCTCCCTCTTACCCGTACTAAACATGCAAACTGTAACAGTCAGCCCCACCATTTCTAGAACTAAACTTTTACCCTGACAAGAGTTAAGGATACTGTGCATTATGGTCTATGTAACTCTCGTTCACAGTCCTTATCGGCCTCTGAGCACATATATGAGCGAGTCATTAAAACGAATAGAGTTTGTGTAGCACTGTTCTGATTGTTTTTTGTGATAGCATTTTTTGGCTCAAAGGTCACTAATTAGTGACAACATAGGAAAGACAGACCAAAGTTGTTCATGTTAAAGGGCTGTTTGAGTGTGTTAGCAGCTGTTTCTCAGACTACAGACTTCTTGCTTTCTTTCTAATCCTTTTAAAATCCATTTCCTCTCCTCCATCTTTAGTTTTTGCCAATTGTCTACCTTCAGTTATTATAAGAAGAATCCTGTGCTGAGTTTCACAAGGCAGTTGTTTTACTAATACCCACACACACACATTTATTGATTCACGTGTAGTCAGTTGGAATGCTAACATGATAAGCTGCTGGGAAACAGAAATGTTCATCTTTCAGTTTAAAGCTTTCAAAAAAGGAGAAAGTTTTTGAGTAGGGGGAGTATACACCCTAAAAATGCCCAAATAATCTGATTATCATGTCTCTTATATTGTGTGAGGCTCTCAAGAGTTTTTAGGTAGAAGCACCAGGACCCATCTGGTCCCCACATGAGACCACCTTTCTGTGCAGATTGTCTCAGAATAAACTGTTTTCTGTTTGTGGTCTACAGGCTTGAATGTTGGCTGCTTCTATGCTATTTCCACACTGTTGAACCGGATGATCATTGAGCACTATCCTGTAAGTCCCTATTATAGCCTTTTTTTTTTCATGTTTGTCAACTTTATATTTTCTGCCTTACCTTCTCTAGTCTTCCTTGTGGCTTATGCTCAGATTGAATAGGCCCAGCAGGTAGACACTATCTGACCGCATTTAACACTGAGCTATAAAGCATCCAAAGATATGGTCCTGACACAGATAACAGGAGTATGATTGTTACGGCTCAGTGCTTCTAGGAAATGACTGCATATTGTGACTTCACAGGTGCAAATGCCAACATTTTCTCTTTCAGGGTGAAGAGGTGAATGCTGGGAGAATCGGTCTGACCATTGTCATTGCTGGCATGGCGGGCTCTCTCATATGTGGCATATGGCTGGACAAGACCAAAACCTACAAGTAATGTATTTCTTTTAAACCCCGATTTTCAATGATGTGGACTAAAATCAAACACAGAGCTGTGTTTTCTAACAAGAACCTACATTTGAGTCAAATCCTAAATATACACCATGTCCATCAGAACATGGCTACACTGTGATCATAAAATGAACTGCACACCATTGCACCATCAACAGCTTAAACCATTGATACAAGGCAAGATGAATACATGATTTCATGTTATTTATTTTAACTTTTGACCCTACCATCCGAATGTCACAGCAGAGATTGAGAGTCATCTGACCAGGCGACACTTTTACAGTCTTCTATTGTCCAATGGTGGTGAGCCCATGTAGTTTAAGATTCCTGCCGTTAGCTGAAAGGAGTGGTAAACCATGGCATTCAAATAAACTAATGTCATTGTTTTCTACAGTCAGATTCTGATGGAGCTTCATGTGCACATGTAAAAAGATGCTCTTCTGAAAGGCAATGTAATTTTCAGTCCTCAGGATCAGCATTCTCACTTCTTCTCTGCAATGTTAGCTGTACTTTAAAACATCGACTCCTTGCATGAATGTCCTTTAAGTCACTCATCCATTCACAGAGAGATGTCCAAGTGAATTAGACCATTTGATTAAAAGAGGCAAGTATTAGGATACAACATAGCCGAGTTTTCTGTGTGGTGTTGCTCTCTGCTTATCTGAACTGGCAGGCTGTACTTTACTGGTACTTCAAAGTAGCTTCTCAAGCCTTTTGCCACTGCATGTGATGGAAAAACAGTAATCATACATTACTTCTTTCTACAAAATGACCACTTGCTTTATTCTGCAAGTTAGTGATTTAGTGTTGATAAACTGCCTTCATTAATGTGGCATAAAAATGTTTATGATTAGAGGAAGATTCTCAGTCCACAGATTCCTCACATGCCATTAGGATGGTTATCTGTCAGAGCAGTTAAGCCCAGATTTAGAACGTGGATCCAGAGTGAGCCGGAGGACTGTGCAATATTAACAAAAATGTTTTGCTGCTTGTTTTACGCGTGGTTGTACAAGAAGCAGCTTCAACAGAGTGAATTTGTTTTTGCAGATTGGCGTTGTTGTGACAAGTCGTTGGTGACACAAATTAATGGCATTCATTTTTGTTTGGGGGGGGGGGGGTGAACATTATCGCTTGCGTTAGTCCTTATTGTGCCCGTCATAACATGTGCTATGATACATGGCTTAATGTCTTAAACTTTATTGTTGATGTTATGCTCCTGTCTCCACAGACAGACCACCTTGGCCGTGTATATCCTTTCTCTAACTGGGATGCTGGCCTACACCTTCACCCTCAACTTGGGTCACCTGTGGGTGGTGTTCGTTACAGCTGGAGTTTTAGGGTAGGTAACCATTAAAGACTATGGACCACCATGGCCATAAACATCACAGTAGGCTCTAGCAGCCAACAGGTAACAGAGCTGTGAATGATCTCTTATATTCTGTCATGCAAATGTGATGGAGGGAAAAAAAAGATGTTTCTCATACTTTTATTTATTTAAAGAAAACATTTCGGCAAGCGTCAGCAAAGTGAGAAATGCTGAGGGGCTGCCAGCTGTTTCTGAAGCTAAAGGGTTTCCGTGGAGCTGGAAATCCATTTATTGGAAGTGTTTAGAAAACTGCTTAGCTAAACAGAAGCTTTATTGGCCCATGCGGGTTGGCATAGCATTGACACTATAACCTCGGGGTAATGTTGAATCGTATTGGTCACGTTTAGAGTCCCGCTCGAAACTGATGAAGCTCTGTGTTGTTCAGTTTCTTTGTAGCAGGAATGCTGCTTTTTGAGCAAAACTTAGTGTTCCACAGTCCACAGGCTTTGTCAATAATTGCTATTTATGGTAAGCTGATTATGCCCATATCTGGTTTCCATAGCAATTCCTTTGTCTGCTTTTCACCCAGAGAGGATGTATTAAACCTCAATATACTTGTCCTACTTTTACATTTGTGGAGCATTTTTTCTGCTGGTTTTTGGACAGTTAAAAATAGTTGAGTCACAAAATTCTACGCTGAACAGATCAGACACTTGGTTTTATATTTTAATTCACCTATATTTTCTGTCTTTCTCCAGTTTCTTTATGACAGGATACCTGCCTCTGGGTTTCGAGTACGCAGTAGAGCTCACCTACCCAGAATCAGAGGGGACCTCGTCCGGACTGCTTAACTGTTCAGCTCAGGTCGGTAACGTTCAGCACGTATGACTGCAGAGAACAAACAAATAACATATCATAACATGTCATGTTGTTTGGGCCTTTAAAGAGCTTCTCACTCTCATTTCAGATCTTTGGAATCATTTTCACCATAGCTCAGGGAAAGATCATGGATTACTGGGGAACTTTAGCTGGAAACATATTCTTGTGCATCTTTCTGCTAATAGGAACAGTGGTGACAGGTGAGATGTTAACCTCATCTCTGTAGATATCGGCTGTTTTCTTTCCCATGTCTGTGTGTGATACTCAGACCAACTTATGTGAAACCATTTTGTGTTGGACTTGCAAAGACTCGTCTCTTTCATAGGCGTATGCTGCCTCCTAGTGGCTAAATTACTTTTCACACTATATTAAAGTTGTAGTTAAAGAGGACCAAAAATACATATTTTTTAGCGCTACATTTTTATCGTTGCTCTCTACTAGAGTAGCTTTGCATGATTCACAGCTAAAAATAACTCATATGCCTCATTGTAAGCCTTGGTGCGGCCTACTCCGAGTCTGAAACAATCTGACCCTTCCTTTTAAGTCAGCTTTTTTCTGTTTATGTGCTCTGCATGCCTAAAGTGACAAAGGTAAGGATATACACTGTCACTGACATCATACAGAGCTAAGAGCAGAAACCACATGTTTAGAGGCGTCTGCAGCAGGAGGTTTTGTCTTGTTGGAAATGCCTCTAAATGCACTGAACTTATTTGAATAGTAGGTCTTTTTTCCTTAAGACCTTTTTGTTATGTTCTGACATGTAAAACCTTAATGGCAGGAGTACCTTCTTTTTACCACAACCATGCTTGTTAAGGTCTTACTGTCTAACTGTGCATATCCTTCGATATCCTTCCTCCATCATCTCTGAGTTGTCACAGGAAGGGGGATATCTTTGATTCAATAATCTCTGAGCACCAAAGGATATTCTGCATGCTGACCCAGAAAATTAGTTTTGAAGAAAACATGTTATATAAAAGACAAGAAGATAACATGGGAGTAGCAATTTTAAAACTTCCACACCAGTATGCTGTTCTATTTAAATTTAACTTTATTTTGCACAAAATCAATCATCAGTAATTTAATGTGTTTCATAATATTATTATTATTATTGCAGGATTTATCAAATCCGACCTCCGACGGCAGAAGGCCAACCAACAGGTTGAGGTGCAGACAGTGAGTGTAAGTACGACTGTGTGTGTTACATGAAGTTAGAGGTGGGATGTGTGTTAGAGCCCACCCTGGCTCTGGATTGAATGCGCTCTGAGTGGTTTTCTGCTGGTGGCTTCTCTGCAGTCACTTACATTGCAGTCTGCTGCGGCAGGCTTGGATGCAAAGCGAATGCAGGCGGTCGTCCCGCTGCCCTGGTTGCAGCTTTCTCCGCAAGCTGCTAAAAATGTCGTTTTCTCTCAGCTATGCTTCGTCTAACAGCTCTCTGGCTCGCTCTCATTAAAAACACGTTTGCTTATTCTTTGCTTTGAAAAGCGTTGCTTTGGTTTAATGCTTACAACGGGTGCAGTTGAGAGCTGTCAAAGAAATATTTTCAGCTAAAAAACTTATATTAAAACCAAGTATTAAAACGAAATATGTGGTGACTTTTGTAACTTCGGAGATGTTCATGCTCACCTGTCGCCTTGCTTTACGTCAGGCTCGGGACCTCTTGCTTTCTTTCTTTGGCCTTTTTGTCCTTCTGATATTCCAGTTTTAACACTACAAACGCAGCTTAAACACCAGTAATCCTGCACACCAGTGGAAGTCAAAGTGATAGTAGTGCAGTAGATTTAAAAAAAGAAAAGAAATGAAAAAAGAACAAGAGATGTATCTAAATAATAAATAAAGCAGAACTAACGATACATGCAGTTTCCTGATCAAAGGCTGTGCTATAGCTGGGTGTGCAGGTGTCTCTGGATGCACTGGTGGTGTGTTATGAATGAGAAGGTGGAAGATGAGGGGGACCCCTTAGGGCCCCTCAAGGTGTGACCCCAAAGCTATCATTCCAGCCTGCAGGCTCCCTGTCATCGGTGCAGGACTACGGGGCCACGTCGTGCGGCAGCCCCTGGCAACAGCAGTCTTGACATTAACCCACAAGCTCACAAACACCAAAACACACACCTGCCAAGGTAGGGTGAAAAAAGGGTTTTAACGATTGTGTACACGATCATGTTTGCATTTACTTGAAGGTGTTACCGGTTAAACTGCAGCGCATTGTACTCGACTGCACAATCAGCCCTTTAAATCGCACAAACAGACTCGGTGTCATTGTGGAATTAAACGTTTATCCGGTGATTGCAACTCATCTGAAGTTCATTGTGAAAAGACACGTGATGAGGTGTACTGAATGTGAAGAGATGTGTGTTGCTGATATAATATTGATGTTGAACTCTGCTGCCACTTCACTCATTTTACTGCATCACGTCTGTCCTTTGCAGACAATTACTGCTGATCTGGAAAGAGGAATCTCTCCACCTGAAATCTTGAAAGAGGTGAGGTTGTGAGGAAGACAGATCTTTCTCTGTCCAAGATCTCAGAATATCACCGTGTACAGATTAAAAACAAATAAGACACATTAAAAAACAACAACAAAAACTGACATATAGAGACGCACAATCATGCACAAACGACTGAGGAGCTGAAAGCTGTGAACTGTAAGAACATGGAGGCTGAATCACAGAGAACAGTGTTGCTTTACGGAGTTCTGTTTGGACTCTGTGATGCAGAAATCCACATTGGTATTACACCCCAAAGCACCATGGGGGAATGCACTTTCAAGGTTTTTACATCATGGGATGATGGCATTTTACATGTCTTGTTAGGTGCAATGTATCTGCCACTTTAGTGACTCCAACCTTCAATCTAACTGAATGCCTTTCCTAGTTTTCTTCTGACCGGTGTTAATGTAGTGTTTTATGCATTTGACTGGCAATATTGAAAGTTTTCTAATATATGACCAACATTGTGTGTAATTGAACTCTCTCTTTACATTGATGAAGGTGTCTCATGTTAGTGTTCTGTGTTTAGAATATGTGTATTCAATGCAGATTAAGGACTACGACGTGTTTACCTGTCAGGCAGCCAAGTCACCTTTCGCCTAATTGAGGCTTTCGTATCTGTCGTCTGCCGTTCAGGATGACAGTATTACTTGTGAATACTGCTGATGCAATGTATCTGAGTTCGCTTTGAGGGGGGGGGGCGGTCAATATTGGCCCCATTTTACTGTGCTTGACTTCTTTAAAAAGACACAAGAGGCGAGAATGTCCGGAACGCAAAGGATGTCAGCACAGCGGAAAATAAGAACAACACAATGGGAGATTGCGACTAATCAGATCTACTGCCCTTATCATTTTGCACACTTTTTATGTGTACTTTTTACTTTTGGTACTGTAGAATTATACAAACAGGCGACAAATCGAAGGGAAATCCATCAGAAATATGTCTTGGGTGTTGGGCCAATACATGCCAGAGTCGGAGTAATGCAGCTCAGTTCTTGTGGAAAATATTACCTAATTTTGTGTGAATAATTGTAGTGGCAAGCAAACATAAGATGGCCAAAATCTCCTCTTTATGGTCAATGTGGTTAAATTCTGATGACTTTAAAGGCTTAACACATCTTATTTTTTATAGTCATTAAGTGTCCCAAGTGTCCAACAGATGTGGCCTGATCTGAGCACCACTTTGCACAGTTGTGCACCGATCCTGAGTGGACCTAAACAGTGCCAATCAAATGCCCTCCACCTGTTAGAGCCCAGGGTCAAAGGCTCAAGTGGTTTAGTGTTTTCCTTCGTTTTGTTGCCTGTGTGTATTTTATGCTGTGTAACCAGTAGTTGTACAAATTTTTACTTCAGGTATTTTTAGGAAGTTGTCTCGAAATGTTGATATTTAATTAGGACTTTTATGTGTCTGTGAGAGGTTCTAGTTCATCTTAGTCTTAGGCACTTTAAAGTGCTGTGAATTTTCCACACCCTTAGAGTTTTTGCTATTTTGGCATGATGTGTAGTTGATCCAGTCAATAAGGAAAAAATGAAACTGCAATACAAACTATGGGATTTTGAACACTGTACCAAAAACAGAAACTAAATTAAGAACAAATCTATATATTTATAGATAAATAAGCCCTAGCTAAATGTGTCTGTGTATTTTTGTATTTCACCACAATGTGGCCATGTTTAAATCAGGAGATTTATGCTTTCTTTAACCCAAATATGAGAACAGAACAAAACTGGGATTTCAGTCTTTAGCACAAACCGTGCAAAAACACAATTACACCTTGAAGGACACTTCAAACAAAGGATTACAAGACTACAAAATACTATTGCCACAATTATTACAGCAATAAAAAACATAAAAAAATCAAGATATTTTTTAAAAATTAAGTTTTATACAAAGTTATTTGTGCATAAATTTCCAGGATGTACAAATCTTTCACAGCACACAACAAGCATCAAACCAACCTCTGCTGTATGATTTTTCTAATGAGGTGCGTGGTTTTCTTCTGCGTAGCCTTCCGAGATCTTTGGTACATCTGGGCTTGCTTTGATTGAAAGACTAGAAAACGGTACTTTCTCTGCTCTGGTGCAATAAAACAATCATGGTGACGAGAAAATGTGTACTGTGGTTCTGTTTCTGCGGTCAGTCAGCAGCACCATAGCAAAACCGAGACTGAGAAAGAATACGCTATCTGTGCTGTTAGGACAACATAAAACTCCAGATATTGCTCTTTTAAATATGAAATTATTACAAATTCTAAAGCAGCACACATTGACCACTGTATTGTAAGATATACACCAATCGATCACAACATTAAAACCACCTGCCTAATCTGCTGTGTTCCTCTTGTGCTGCTAAAACAGCTCTGATTCCTCATGAAGGCAGGGTCTTTGAGGATGTGCTGATTGGGAGCATGACAGCAGCAGTTGTCCCCAAAGATCAGCCTTGCTGGGGAACATCCTACAAAGGCTCATTTGGATTAGGGACTACTAGCGTCTTCCTGTGTTTGAGCACATCAACTGCAGTCGTGGACCAGGAATCCCAGGTCCCGACGTTTCCCAGCAGAATATTGTAGTTTCACAAGATAATGGTATTTATTTGACCTGTGAGGGGTTTTAATGTCATGGCTGATCTGTGTAAATGTAAATAATGTCACAGTAGAAAGTGAATTTACATCAGTATATCCTGTTCTTCAAGGCAAGAAGCAGCACACGAGGACCAGTTCACAGAAGGCTGGTGGAGGTGGATTCAGTTCAACAACAGGAAACTCCAGATTGCTGGGACTCAGTTATGCTTTTTCTGTCGCGCTCCAACTTCCTCCTGTGTTTCTGGAAAACACTGGAATCCAATGAGCATTCCTATGATGGAAAAACCTGCAAAAACACAGTGATGTACTTTTAACTGTGTATTCCAGTGTGTTGTGATTTAACTTAAGACGTCCTGATGGGGAGTCCAACAGAGGTTATTATCACTATTATTCATTACTCACTAGCCACAATGAGAGGGGCCATGACTCCGATAGTCAGCGGTGCAGTTTTATAGATAAAAGCCTCAGATAGGAAGTGGCCCAATGCCAGGACAAACGTCCATAAGGTGATGTGATACAGCCTGCGAGAGCCAGGGTTACACAGTGAATAACCCATAGACTTCCACCAGAAATGAGTTTTTATGGTGCAGGAAACAACACGATGCCTTACGTTCTATTCTGGATATCAATGGCGCAGGCACAGCGAATGATCGATGACAGCAGCGTCCAAATACCAAAGGTTCGAGCTTGGAGACCATTTACTGAGAAATTAAATAAATACAGATACAATATATTATGATAGAGAGCATCCATTATTAGTTGAGAACAATGCAGGAGGGTTTCTTGGAGCATTTCTTTCTTTTTTTTTAACCTTTTGAGCAGGTTTAGCTGAGGACATTGATTTATTATCTAATTCTAAGATCTTATACACTAACCAGACACTTTATTAGTTACACCATGCTTGTACCAGGTTGGACCTTGTTATGTTTTCAGAACTGCCGTAATTCTTTCACAGCATCCCAAACGTGTTTTATTGGATTGACTTCTGGTGACTACAGAGGCCATTTGAGCTCAGTGAACTCACTGACATGTTTGAGACCAGTTTGAGATGATCTGAACATATCCAGTAGATGGGTACACTTATGTAATCATGGCCACAACAATACTCAGTCAGGTCGTGGAATTTAGCACTCAGTTAGTGCTAAGGGGCTCAGAGTGTCCCCCCCCAAAATACCCCACATCATTACACCATCGCCACAAGCCTGAAAATTTGGATTTTGGATGGATTTATACTTTGATGTTGTTTTACAACAAATTCTGACCCTATCATTTGAATGTCAAAGTAGAAAATGAGACCACCAAACATTTTTCTGGTCTTCAGTTGTCCATTTTAGCTGATCCCTTGTTACCTCAGTTTCCTGTTCTTAGCTGACAGCGGTCGCATCTGCTGCAGTCTTTTGCTGCTTCAAGGGTCCACATATTGTACTGAGTTGTTGCCACATGTTTGGGTGGTGAGATAGCAGTTGAACAGGTATACCTAATAAAGCGTCCAGTGAACGTAGAGCGGTGTCTGGTTTGTTATGCCACCTGTAAGTGCATTTTTCTGGAAGTGTGCCGCAGTACAGAAGTTTTCTGCAATACTACTTACTATGGTGAAGATTATAAAAAAACAACATTTTAATGCCCTAAATTACTATGGTTTATTCAAGTTTTTAATACAAAGTAAGAAAAGAAATTCAATATTGTGATTGCACAGGATTAGAATTATTGTTGCAGTCCAGATCAATGGGAATAACAGCAGCTTATAAAAGGCAACACAATACTACAAAGGCTACAAGGGCTAATAATTATTATAAATGAATGCTTTCAAACTAAGTATATATTTTCCAATCTAAAGTGAAGTCTTGCTAATAACTACTACTATTGGTTTGGCTCCTATTAGGGAGAAATGGCCTTGTATATTCTGATTATGATTAATAAAACATTTATACGTGCTCTATATAGACTCTGCACGCCAGTGATATGCAGGCTAATAGGTAATTAGTTGATGATCATCACGTGCATTTTAACATAAAGTGTTGCTTGGTATTCGAAGCGTGTGGTGTTTGCCTAATTTATACTAATACTAGAGTCACAAACTAATAATCACGTTACTTTTAAGGTTGTCAGGTTGCACATTCCACTTCTGTCAGAAAACAAAATCCAGTTTTCTCACCAAACTCTGGCATGCCTGTGTAGAGCTTTTCGGACAGAAAACTGTGATCTCTGAAACTCTGCACGGTGTTTCCCATCGCGATGACGGACACCATCACCAGCCAGCTCCGCAGGACGTTCAGAAAGCGACTCATCTCTTCTGTGTGGAAGAAGCACCTGTCAGAGAGGAAAACTCTGCCGGTTCACTGCAGGACACACCACTCCGAACTACAGGTCAGTACAAACCCCGGTTATATAACATTAGCATTGGACGGAAGAATAGATGTATTTCTATTTCATGTCTAACATAAGACATTAGCTGGCAATACATCAGTAACTCATATGACATAACAAGCTAACCCTGGATTAAGCAGGTTTCTACAATTAGCTAGCCTATTATACTTTAAAATATCACGAGTACGTCATGTATTTACCTGACTGCGCCTGTCAAACTATCATATTCCCGACAAAACAGGAGTGTACTGGCGCTAGAAAAAGTGGGACTGAAGCCAACCGAGTGGCGAGTCTTTCAATCTTGCCTCGTGGGGTTAACCAATAAGAGCGCTTAAAAATGGCTCCTGTTAATCGTACCATGATTGTGATTGGCGATTTCAGGCGTTAGGGTTCCGCCTATTTTTTCCCTCTAACCAATCTACATATAGCAATCCTGTCGCGTGTGGACAGTGCTAGACTGCGTCCAAACAAAGAGTAGCTGTAGAGCAAGAGAATTATGCAGGTGACGTGCCTCTACGAGCAAGGCTTGGCAGCCTCCTTTGTAACGTTTCCGAGCACTTATTCCGAATCTAAATCCCAATTAATTATATTATTAGGTAATTGTGAACATGAAAAACTGCATCTATAGAAAGACCTATGAAATAATGCAAAATACGTTCGAATTTTGACTCAACTAATCTACGACTAAACACGGTCTAAAATACGATTTTAACAAGCATTTATCCACTGGAAGTATATATACATTCTCTCACAATCTTAATTCAATAATCTTTGAAAGCCATGCATTTATTTTATATAAAAATAGATGTAGATTTGAGGGGTCCCAGTATTTTGGAAAATGCTTTAAAAAAGTTATAAAATATTATAAATGTTATTAAACATTAAGGCACACCAGCTCACTGTGCAGCAACTGAAGCAACACAACAATATCAAAATATAAAGAACATATGAAGGAAATCGCTCTTTGTAATATTTCTATTGAAATGTTTTTGCCTATTTATTTTAAATGTACGGGCAGTTCAAAGTTTCGTCACGTGGATCAATATTGTCGCGCGCATGCGCCTTTCTCTGTTGCTATCCACTTGTTGTAGTTACAGGAAGATTAACGGCGATTGCTGGACCTGGCGATACCAACTAGCTTACTGTTAGCAGCCTCCACAGAAATTCAAGGCAAGTTTTTGTTGTCCGGGTATAGTGGTTAACTCATTTGCCTTGCATGTGAAAGGTTCCCGGTTCGTTTCCGGGAGGAAACACAAACCCACCCTCAGAGTGTTATAAGCTAATGTACTCTCAAGTGCTGGTCCCAGCCCAAAGGAAGGGCATCCGCGCGTAATAGTCAAAATACGCGGATCTATTTGCTGTGGCGATCCCTTGGGAAATAAGCGAGCAGGCGAAAGTACCTTCTTTCTGTTGCTGTATGTATTTGTACTTCATCATAAAAACCTCAGTGGTGTCAAATTAAGCAGACTTTGCGTAGTTGACAACGCGTGCAGACATAAAAGTAACGCTTTATTTAGCAGTTTGGTTTTGTCTTAACCATAGACTGTCTATAACGTGTTAAGATGATTTCACTGCCACAGCAGGCAGACTTAGAAAGCAGCAGCGGTTCTCAGGTGAGAGCATGCTAACTGTAAATCACTGTAGGACGGTGTTAGTGTTGCAGTCTTCGTGTTAAGCTGTCGTGGAGCAGAGTGTTATTAATACATCGGCGTTTTTATGAGATCATCTTAGAAGTGACTGTTGTGTTTGCCCTTGGATGTTGCAGATGCCAGGGTAAACACTAGATACTTGGTCCCACGAAGATTTCTCCGGGCAGATGGTACCCCCCTTTGCAGTGAAAATGCCAGCCGTGATCCGGGATAAAGAGGACTCTGAATCCTCCTCAGAAGACGAGCAAGAGTAAGTACAAGTTAGCAGTTCATATTAATATGTCTGCTGCAGAATAAAGGACAGCCTGTGATCTAAACAGAGTCAAGGTCAGAGGTTATAGAAGCGCCTGGGATTATCTGCTTTATATCACAAATAAAACAAGCTGCCTCAAATCTGTCTTTTCTCATTTAAAGAAAAAAGCAACAACTCTCTCAATCAATGCTATTGGTGCCTTTGTTTTGAGTATTTTGTCCTTCAAGAGGAGCTACTGTTGCTTGTTTGCAGACACACTGGAGAAGAGTAGGATATTGCTCACAGTCCCTGCAATCCCTGTGGGACTTGGCAAGTCAGTTAACTTCTTAGCCTACTGATCCTCTTGGCATACTGCATAAGATTTCCAAATAATACATATTGTAATAGGACATTATGGTGAACTAAAAGCATTGTTCATTTTCTCTCTCATTGCAAGTTACCAAATCAATTTAAGGTGAAATGTAATCGGTGAGGGATTACAGAAGATGTCCTGAGCTCTGTTTAATCATTTATGTCAAGATACATGCAAACAAAATGACACCTTCAGGTGTCTTTCATTCTGTATAATTGATGACTGCCATTTAGACAAATGAGTATATATCCCTCTGCTGTGGATGCACCAGCTGGTCTTTGCTTTCTTGTCTCGGTCTAATAATTCCCTCTTAAGCCGTGCTTAGTCATACCTTTCTGGGTTCCTCTGTATCTGCTTTTAGGCTCCATCTCCTAAATTAGTTTGGATTGCTTAGAGTTAGCATTTAACCTTCAGGCTACCAACGCTGCATTTATTGACATGGCAGTAATTATGCACTGAGATGCTACAACATGGTTGTTCAAAAATATCTACCCCATAAACACATTGCAAGAGTAATATTGCAGTAGTTTTATTTTTTAAACAACTGCTGTCTGCAATTTTTTACTTGCACACAAAAAGTCTTGACACCATGAAAGAAGTGTTGACCTTCCTCAAAAACACAAAAGGAAAGTCACCATGACTGTGATAAAAGGACAGTACTGTTTTGGTGCGAAAATGAGAAATAGGTGCCGCGGTTTACTGAAACAGCAAACACACAAGGTAATATAGTATATAAAGCAAAAACAACGTTTTTACAATTCTAAAGAGCTTGAAAGTCATATTTTGTTTGACCGCCTTTGTTCTTCAGCACAGCCTGAACTCTCTTGGGCAAGTTCCGGGCATCTTGAAGGACTTTCAAAGCTCTTCTTTGGATGCCTTCTGTTCTGTTCTCTGTCAAGATGATCCCACACTGCTTCAATAATGTTGAGGTCCAGGCTCTGGTGAGACTGATAGTGTTCCACTGTGGGGTTTTTAATCCAGGTATACTTGTACTGCCTTGGCATTGTATGCGGAATCATTGTCATGCTTAAAAATGAAACTGTTTGCAATGAGATGCTTTTCAGATAGTGTTGCATTGTAGAAGAAAATGTGAAACCACTTTTCTTTGTTTATAATTATATAAATAATCCACAACATCACTGGCTGAAATGTAGCCCCAAACCCTGACAGAGCCTTCAGTGTGTTTTACAGATGGCTAAAGACAAATTCTGGATTCACCACTCCGTAAGGCCTGTTGCTGCGCAGTTCTTTTGAATTTTGGGATTTTTCTGTCCTTTCTCCCTGTTTGTCTTCCTTAAGCCTGGCTTTTTGACAGCCACCCTTCCACTTAAACCATTGCTAATGAGGGCTTGGTTTAGAGTAGCAGATCAACTGAAGAGCCAGATGCATCTCTCAGGTCGTGTGTCAGATTTGTACTTGTCCTATTCCTTAATGAACATTTCATCTGCTGTAGATAGTTTTTTTAGACCTGCCACATCTTTTTCTTCTTTAACTTGTCCAGTTTCCTTTTTAAGGGCACACTGCGCATCTCGCTACACAAACAGTTCAGCTAATAGCTCTTTGGAAAACAACACTGGTTCACGCCTTGAGTTTGGTGCCTTTTAATGCTTGCTTGTATTATAGTGAGCAAAATGCAAAGAAATTGTGTACCAGTTTTTCTTAAGTTCAATTTAAAATGGACAAAATAACAGGAGTATGCACAGTTTCACTTCTGGTAAGTAAGGTTGCACTCTTTGCCTTAATTACAGTGTATGCGGACCTTCATGCCACATGGGACGGCTACATGGTATAACATTACAGGCTGTCACAAAAGATGCACAGCACACATAAAGGCGAAACCATCCATTGGAAACCTACCATGGCAGAAACACAAGTCTACAGCACAGGCCTTTATTTCAACGTTTTGTTGAATTTAATAAAAACAGAAAAATCATAATCAAGAGAATAAATGTTTTACAAAATGCACCCTGCACATGCTGATAGATGTCTGTCCAATAAGCCGTTCTATTTAAAATAAGATAAGATATACTTCATTTAGCCCATGTGCCAAAACATTAAAGACAACCTATAACAAGTTTAGATAAAGTACAATAATGCAGTAGACGTGGGACTGGAAACAAAATGTAATAGAAAGAAATGTCAGTTCCTCTTTGAATTTTACTGTTACAAATATCAACAATGCTTTAAAAGTACTAATATTGCACGATCATATTCAGAGATGATGGTGGTGATGTTAACACATTCTTCTGTATAAGATCTTAACATCTTGTGTGTATGCAGGTGTCTGGGTAGTCTCGGTGATGGCTTACGCTCATGATAAACAACAAGCTTAAATACTATCAAAAGACTCCTCTTAACAGTGAGCAACCCAGCCGTGTCAGTGCGATAATCTGCGATATTGTCTCACATACCTGGATACTTGAGCTAAGGGCAGCAGTTGCTTGCATGCCCCACCTCTCCCACTTATCAAGGCTGGTCATACCTGATTGACTTCTACTCCATCATCATGTCACCTTATCTTATTTTGACCCCCTGATAAGCAGGCTGTGTCTGGTACTGTGAGACATTCTCGACTTTTACAAGGGTATTTGGAGTACTGTACATGGGTTTGTTATTGCCCGGCACCTCACAAAGCTCTGAAATAAACACCACGTCACGCGGCATTCCCGCAGCCTTAGGTAAGATGCCCATATAGGTCAGTTCATGTCATCCTGGAAGATTTTGGGCACTGAAATTCACCCCAAAGTGCATCTCTGAAACTTTGCTCCTGTTATTTTTATTAAGTGTCTGTATAATTTGTCACCCACTAGAGACCATCCCTGCATCTCATGGGGCAGCCTTAGCAAGACCATCCCGATTCTCCTGTTTTTCCCTGAAGCTGTTGTTTCAAAAGATGGAAGCATATCTTCTGTTGGAGGTACAGTGCAGAGTAATAAAAATGTCATTTTGGAGCCTATAAAAGTTCAATGCTAAGAATATCTTGTTGTGCTTTTTGCACAGAACGATATAATATGGCCTTCAAGATTGTGCGCACAGAGAGCCGCC